TCCCAGGCAGTTCTGATAACGACCCACGCGGGCCTGGCCTCGCCGTCGGCAGTGGTCGAGACGGAGGCGACTCAGTCGGTCGTCACATGCGCCCTGCTCTGCCTCCGCTCGCCGCCTTGTGTGGCGGCCAACTTCCGGGCTGGGGGCAGCTGCCAGCTAGTGGGCCGACCTGATGGCGGCCTACTACCGCTGCTGCCAGCAGCTGTCGGCGATGTGGCGCTGCAGCGGCCGGCCGGCAGCTGTCGCCAACTGCAGGCGCTCGGCTACACGACCGATGGCGTGTACAGGGTGATCGGTCTGCCGGTGCCGCTGTACTGCGACATGACCCTGACCCTGGGCGGCGGCTGGACGCTGCTGGTGACCTCCGTCTCGGTCGACGGCTGGGACTTCCACTCGGTGCTGGAGCGAAGCACCGACACACCGACACTGACCGGCAACTACTCGATCCTGCGCTACGGTGACCAGATCAAGAGCCTCGGCACGTCAACGCACTTCAGATACAGGTCAGTGCAGTTGCCACGTGCTTACTGTGTCTCAACCGCGCTGGCTTGCACTACATATTTTCAATGGTGTCTTCATTTACAGTAGTCATCGCAGTGCTAATATTAATGGTGACGGTAGCATGTCACCACCGGAAGAAAATGAAGTGTCCTTAAAATGATGAATGCTGGGAAAATGACAACGTTCAATTTACCTTAACCTGTCTGCATGACTTTAATGGGAAAGGTGACATGAGATGATGAACCTGCCTGACGCTCTGACCTTTCTGACGGCAGGCTGGAGGCGCAGGTACCGGCTGCCGGCCGTGAGCGCTGGGGCGGGGTCTGGCTCGCCCCCCGGTCCTCCACGCTTAACGGCAGCCAGCCCAATCAGAACACTGTGCGAGAGCTGGCGTTCGACGACTGGACTACCAGCGATAGGACAATCCAAAACGTCGTGCCCTGGATCAACCGCGATGGCATTAAAGATAGTAATCCATTGCTGAGCACCTGTCTCCCACCTGGTCCCGTTTGGTGGGGCACGCTTGTCAGTAGCAGGAATTATGGCTGGAATAACACACCTTGGATGGAACCCACGGTCGCGATGTGGTCAGACACTGTTCTCTACTGGCTGCGCGAGGACTAAGCAGTCTCAGCTGTCCGCCAGGCGCTGAACGGCGGGTCAGCTGTCTGCCAGGCGCTGGACGGCCGGTCAGCGGCAGATGCTGGACGGCCGGTCAGCTGTCCGCCAGGCGCTGGACGGCCGGTCAGCTGTCTGCCCGGCGTTAGGCGGCCGGTCAGCTGCTGCCAGGCGCTGGACGGCGGGTCAGCTGTCTGCCAGGCGCTGGACGGCCGGTCAGCTGTACGCCAGGCGCTGGACGGCGGGTTGCGCACTGATCTGGCATCTCGACTAATACGTGGCGCTATTAAAATTACTTTACACATGGTGAGAAAAGGAGGGATCATGATGGGATGGAGCTTAACGTCAGTGTAAAAAGGAAAGCAGGTGGAGGTTTTGGACAGGCCGACGTTGCACTGGGGTCAGGCTGATGCGTCCTGCCGAAATCTTTTTTTTAAATCTTTAGGGATGTTGCGTTTAATGCAGCGGAAAACAGGGGTGGTCACCCAGCGTAACCAGCGCGAAACAAGGGAGGATTAAGCATAGACACAAAGCGTAGCGAAGTTTGTTGACGGCTCCCTAGAAATGTAGATTGTAGAACAATTTTGAACCTGAGGTCGTGTTCATTTTAAAGAAGAATGCAGTGTGTGCGACATTAGGTCGAAAATGGCGCCATAACCCGACGTGGAATGGTGACAGCAATTTGGAAAAGCTTTTCTCGAGCATAGACGCCTGATTCCCAATAGTCGAAACTGGTTCCCAAAAGCCGAACCTGGTTCCCACTTCAATGTCATGAGAACGAGATTCCGGATCGGTCTCAGGCATGGTCTTTGAGAAACACCAGCCCTGCTTCCTGCTTCCCAGAAGTTCTTTGAAAAACTCAAGATACGATTTCTTGGTTCTAGTTGATTTTTACATGACCAGCAAGGCCTGGTCCCTGGTTTCCTTTTGTTCTTTCACGAACGAATAAATCGCAATAACTCTAGGCTCGGTCTGGTTCTTGTTGGGTACCCGCGCACGTACCAAGTCAGACCTTGGTCCATGCCAGGTTCTTGACGTGGTGCCAAGAAGGATCCTGGTTCGTGCTCGTTCTATCCGCACAATTTAGTGTTAGATCATGTTTTCTTTTGCTGCCGTTTTTGTCAGATTTACGGCTTGTATAAAAACTTGTGCTTGGAGGTCTTGCCGGTTCCAGATCCAGAACTCAAGAACTCATTCATGGGAAGAAATCTTAAAACCAAAGCACGTGTTTGTCAGGTTCCCTTCACTTTCATTGGTTACTCGGCGTAAGGAAATTTCCCTGATGGGGTGGCTTACCACATTGACATAGACTCCCCCCCCCCCCTGGGCCCAGTGTTTTGTCGTGAGGTTGGATCTCATCACCCGGCTGGTCTCACGACGTCACCTAGCACAGATCCGTGGTGTGCCTTCTGTAGAGGAGGATGGTAATAGTTGTGGCAGTGTTGTTATCCTGTCGAGCTTGCACACGCGCTCAGATGGGGATTTTTTGACTCCGTGAGGCTTATTTGTTCGGGCGCCAAATTTGCTATAGCTGTAGACAGTGGAATTGTTGATATTTTTAAATTATACACCTCATTGGCTGAGGACCTGTAGCGAGTCAAAGTCACCATGATTATCAGCTCAGACACTTCTTGGCAAATATTTAAGCTGATGAGACAGCTGAGTGTTAGATCATGTTGTAAGCATATTTGAGATTGTGTCTTGGGCAAGAAGCCAGGTCAGATCAAGATGCAACCCAAATCACTTTTTAATGAAAAATATGTTTTATGGAGAAGAGTTTGATGCTTAATTCAAGTCATCTGATCACAACGACGTTACCAGATTTCTCGTGTTTACTTTAAGGTCAACCCGGGTCAACGGCTAGAAATGATCCCGGCCGACTATATGTTTTGAGAAACATGTCATCTAGTGTATCTCATGGCATTGATTTCAGATTAGCATAAAGGAAGAACGTGTCAGTGAATTCTATCGTCATCAGTAATTTTACCTTCTGGAGATTAAAAAGGGTAATTGACATGACATGACTTCCGGTGATCTCTCGCTTATGTTAAGTATCTAGATTAAACTGGTCGCTCTTGCAGATCTGGGGCTATTTCAGACACCGATTCCAAGCTTGCCCTTATTTGTTCTTAGTTGACACGTCAAGCACGACCTAAATACCTAAGAATTTAGCACAACTTATTTCACCCAAAGGCCCACCAGCCCTGTGAACAACAGCCCCATCCGTATTTCTAGTTTGTCTGGCCTTTGAGATATTAGAGGGTCTAACAGCCCTCACCCCCGCCCCCCCTCCCCCAGCCCACCTCACCCAACCTCCTTAAACACAAAACACACACCCTGAGCACGTCGTATCCATCCGGTCACCCTGGCGTGTATTGATGAATGGTGTAATTCCCTCGCAATTCTCAGAATTTCACAGTAATTCCCATCACTTGACTGCAGGTGTGTCTTTTGTATTTTGGCTGGCATTGAACAACTATTTTACTTAATAATGGCCATTTTTTCGTTTTCCGATGTAAATGGAGGCACCGCTGGAAACACTTGAACTGTACGCATTACCTGTTATGTTTCAAGATGTGCAGAGGGTCAGCGCGATATTTGTGTGCTTGCGATGAGGATTTTGGCATCAGCAATACACTTCTTACAACGCCAGCTTTTCATTTGAGAACGTAGAGAACAATGAAAGGCGTGGTCGGGCAAACCCTCACCTAGCCGTGCAATAATGGAAGTCCACATGGACTATTGTCCATCAAAGGTAGAGGGACAGTGGAGAGTTTCATAAGGCTGCAGCACCGAAATAGAAGGGCGGACCCATGGATATGAGAGCCAGCTCAGTCAGGTATGTAATGACATCAGTCTGTGAAGTCTGACGACAGTAATGCATCATCGCAAATCCATAATGAGTGGTCAGTACACTGAAGTAGACGGCACAAAGTGATTCTGGTGCTGGAGTTGCAGATAGCTGATTTAAAACCATTTTTAGGTGCGCGAAAATTAATATCCTGGCCTTCATCTCTCATGATTTATGACTCGACATCTTTCTCAAAGGTCACAAATAATACTTACTTATCACGGAAAGTTCATCCCAAAGCGAATTTCTATGCTTCTTGGGTAAAAGACACCACTCTGACATGCATTGCTATCATTCTGGCAGCTTTTTCAAGCTCAGACTGTTCAGTGTCAACCTACGTCAAACTTTAAACTTTGATACTATAGTTAACTTATTTTTATATGTTACTCGATGTCATGGTGTAGTTATTGGAGCTTTGTCCGATGGCACGGTGCAGTAAATAGAGATTTAAGTCACACCCAGCACCTGAGGCTTTATGATGACGTCTGCCCTTCACTCTGGTAGGACGGGCACCGTGGGGAACCGAACGCTGTGCCTCTGGTGTCCCAGACGCACAGCTGAACCACCGCGCCCTGGCCCGCAGATGACATGATGTGATGATTAGCTTGAAGAACATTACTTTGCTCCACTGCCGCATCCTCCAACGCTCCAACGACAGAAACGTGGCATTTCATTGCAACAGCATCGTGTCATTTTGCATGCGGTGGCAGTGAAACATTTTTGACGCCTCCCAGATTGACATCGACAATAAGCGATTTTACCAATCATCCAACAGCTGCCATCAGCGTCCAGTTCAGTTACCGGTACGCGTGGAACTGCAGGAGGTGCCAGAACGGCCAAATAATATCAAACCCCACTTCACACAGAATTCGGCTTGTTAAACGCTCCGAGGCACACCCAAAGAAATACTAAAATAAGCCGCCTGCTCCCTGCCTCTACCGTTCTGACTCAGTTTACGGCCTGCGCTGTCCACCTCGGCTATCACCTTGCCTCGTCAGAGGGCTGCCCGGTCCGCCGTGTCCGTTCTCACCTAGAAGCTCGGTGTGACAAGACCGCCGGCGGCGTCGAGTGGGGCGGTGGCGTAGGTCGGGTACGCCCTCTCCGAGCAGTCGCCGTCCTCGCTCGCCGCCGCCATGGACACCTTCACGACCGGGCAAGCGCCATACGGACCGCCGCCCGGACACTCCGTCTCCGTGTCGGCGCTGAGCGCGTACGGCACGCGGAATCGGAACAGCAGCAGCCCCCGCTCGCGGTCGTGGAAGACCTGCGTGCCCGGCGAGCCGGTGAGCAGGTCCTCGAACGTCGGCGTCGGGATGCCGGTGAGGCTGATGCGCACGTCGGTGGCGTCGCGGCCGATGCAGACGCCGAGCCGCTGCTCGACGCCCGCCTGCAGGCCGGTGACTGTGAAGCTGAAGGAGCGTGGCACGCTGGTGTTGAAGTGTAGGATGTAGCCCTCCTCCGAGTTGAGGGCGTAGCTGATCTGGCGCGGCCGCGGCAGACTGTGCGTGGCGCTGCCGTCGTCGCGCGTCACGAAGGTGACTGGGCTGGACGCCATGTCGTACCACTCGAGCTTGAACTTGGTGAAGGCAGCCGGGCACACGTACAGGTTCCAGTTGGGCACGGGCGCGCAGCGGGCGTTCAGATGCACGGCGTACGGCTTCACCACGGTCGCGCCGGCGTAGGTCGTGAGTGAGCCGTCGATGTCCCGAAAGACGGAGTGGATGTTCCCCGCCAGGTCGGCAAAGCCCTGGCCCTCGCTGGCGTCGTAGACGCGGTTGCCGTCGGCGGGATCGGCGAAGTCGAACGTCACGCCGGCGACGCGGTTGGCCGGCGAGGTGTACCAGCGCAAAGCGCGGCGGAGACCGATCGCGCCCGACGGCCGCACCGCGTTGGTCGCGAACCGATGGAAGCTGACGTCCTCCAGCGAGACGGGGGCCGTCGAGGAAAATGGCGCCGATGATGGGCAGCGCGCGGTTGGCGCCACCCATGCGAATCTGGCGATCCCACCAGACGGTCGTGCCGTTCGCTAGCGGAATCCAGCCCTCCGGCTTACCCTTGTTGGCCGTCTCGCCCACGAGGCGCGAGCGCACCAGCCGCTTGGAACCGGGCGCCGAGCTTGCGAACACCACGCCCTCCACGGTCTCAGCGATGCTGAAATTCTCGGCTACCAGGCTGGCGCCGCGCAGCCACGCCGACTTGTAGTTCTTGTAGCCGTTGTAGCCGCGCAGTGTGACGGTCACGGGTGACGAGGTCGGGTCGAGCGGGTCCTCGCGCGGGTCGTACGCGAACCTGCCGCCGACGCCGCCGTTCGTCTTCAGCAGGTCGTCGAGTCGCAGGCCGTAGTCGTTGTTGGAGTGCGCTACGTTGTCGACGAAGGGCGCGAGCGGCGTGCGCAGCGCCTGGCCGGCCACCATGTCGCTGACGTCGGCCGACGGCCCGATCGGTCGCAGCGGGAACGTGTACCAGATGCCATACGCATCGGACCCGGCTGCCACGTTGCCTTCCATGGTGGTCAGCGGGTTGGTGATCCAGAACGTCGCCGCCATGCGCTGGTCGGTCGGGGTGATGCTCGTGCGCCGCGTACTCAGGCCCAGGTTGCCGCGGAGTACCGTGTTCTGTTCGGCACCGTCCTCCAGGAAGAAGCAGTGGCCGTAGTGGTCGAAGGCGACGTTGTCCTCCACCAGCAGGCCGCTGGTGCCGTGAACGGTCACACAGCGTGCGAACGTATGATGGATGGCGTTGGAACGCACGTACGGTGGCGAGGCCTGCGCGCTGACGTCGCCGCACATGTGGAAGTGGATGGGGTAGGCGCCAAGCACCGAGTTCTGTCCCATGTGGAACACCTCCGCGTTGGCGATGTGGGCCGCCTGGAAGCCGGCCAGCACCTTGACGTGGCCGCCGAACGTGTCGAAGCTGAAGTCGTCGCAGTTGTTGTCGCCGTAGCAGGCGTCCTCCATGCGGCCGTGGATCCTAACGTTGCGGTTGAGAAGCGCGACTTCGGCGGCCATGCGCACACCGTCGGTGGTCTCGCCCCAGTGCGTGAACTCCGCCGGACTCTCGATGCTGATCTGGTCGGCGGTGCAGTCGGCGCACGGCTGCAGCACGAACTCCTCCGCCTGCCGCCAGTCGTAGTCCGTGGACGTGACGACGATCGTGTCACCCGCGCTCCAGTCACTGACGTCGTCCTCCAGACTGAGCGTCATCGTCCTCGGCGGGATCGTGCCTGGGGCGTACGAGAGCACGTCAGCCGTGGATGGCCAGCCGTCCTCCAGCTCTGTCTCCGAGTAGACGACGAACTCGGCGGTGCCGATGGTGCGCGTGAGACGAGATGTAACTGAGAAGCCGTCCTGCTCGTGGCCCACCTCCTCGACGCTGTTCTCCGGGTGACCCACGTGGCAGATAGCCGCCCATGCCACCGCCTGGCCGTCGGTGAAGTCCCTGATGGCGCTGTCCGCCTCGCTGTTGAAGCAGGCGGCGCTGAGCGCGTCCGCCATCGCCGTCACATCCTCGCCGTCCGAGAACGACACCTGCCGCTGCAGGACTAGCAGGATCACGCTGTCCGTCTTGGCGGCCAGCGCCTGGAAATCAGCCACTCGGTGCAGCAGGCCGAGGAAGCCAATCACCTGGCCGCCCTCGTCGAACTCGTACGCCAGGAAGCCGCGGTGGCGACTGTTGTGCCACTCTGACTGTTGTTGGTCGAATATCGGGCTGCCGATCACAGCCTCGCGCGTGGTCTTGGGCAGGGTGGCAGTGAGGCGGCTCCAGGCGCGTCGCGGCGCGCCGTGCACCTCCAGCCGGCCACCATCCGCCACCACCAGTGCCTTGACGTGGCGCGAGCCGCCGGCCTCCACGCCGTCCGAGTCACCCTTCCTGCCGAGCAGCTCCAGCTCCGCCTGCCCCGCGAACGGACAGTCCTCGGAGCCGACCCAGAGCTCGCCGTGCACCACCACGGTGCCGGCGGCGAGCTTGGAGAGCGTCACGCTCGGGTCGAACACCAGCCGGCCGCCTGCGGCCACCGTCAGGTCGGCCAGCTCGGCCGTCGCCGTGTCCAGCAGCACGGCGTCACTAACGACCACCGAGGCACCGTCGGCCGGCAGCACGCCGCCCGGCCAGCCGGACGCGTCGCTGGCGCGGCGCAGCGCGGGGTCCTCGTGCGGGCAGGCGGCCTGGGCGGGCGCCAGCAGCGCCGCTAGAGCCAACAGCGACAGCAGAACGGGACGCATGCTGAGCCCGAACCTCCGCCTCTCGAGGCCGTTGTGGAGTGGAGACGGCCGACATGGGATTATATAGGCTGCCACCTAGGTGCCCGGCACCGGCGCCGGCAGATGGTGGCGCCGTGACACGGTGCGCGCGTGAATAGGGGCAGCTGCTGAGTCTCGGGGTGCAATGTCAGCCGACAGGCCACCTGTCCGGACCATTGTTTCTGTAGCGATCGAAAGACGGTGGTGGCGCAGCCTGTTATCAGGCACCCGTTTCAGGAAAAACCCCTGAAAGCTCTGAAAGATGTTGAGTCGAGGTGTGTGTGCTGCCGTCAGGTGTGACGACCGACAACCCCAAGGAATTGCGCCGAGTCACCAACAGGGAGCGGGATGCGTGTGTTCTGCACTGAAAGGATTTCCGAACGTCGTGAGGCGCCTAGTCAGCGTGGCAGCCCTAGCCTAGTCACCCTGGCAGCATGTGCGAGATGAAACAATGCAAGATTAAGGCATTTATGCACATTTCGGCACTGGCCAGTCGACAGCACCATGTCTTTTGTTTCTAAAAGGCGTGTACAAAGCTGACTGAGCCCGAATCTAGAATGGGGGAGACAGGAGGATTCTGACTCCTCGCTTTTTGCAGGTTTTTCCAAAAATTAGGCAGCAGGTCGTTGAAATTTCTGGCTTCAAAATTTAAGAATTTAGGGCACATGGCTTGCGCACTTACGGTTTCGGGGCCCAGCATAGGTGTGAACATCCATCGACATTTGATTATCATGCCAAGATGGTCACCTTCCCGGAATTACATTATCTGCTGCCATGCCATTTGTGTATTGTTTAGGGATCATGACGCGCATCGAAATACCTCTTTTAAGAAGCGCTCGTGACTGCATTGGCCATATTAGCGTCCAGAGGCAATGGCGTGGCCGGGAATCGAACCCAAACCTCAGCCTAGGAGTCCGAGGCACTTACCACTCGGGCCTTCCGCCCCACGCGCATGATCGTGCGTATGTAGGGGTAAGTGACGCTACCTCAGGCAGTTTCAGCATGAAAAAATGCATTGCAATATGGTAAATGCATCATAGCGACATGACCCAAATGCCGTCCGCATGGTGACCTGACCACACAGCCGTCCACATAGTAACCTGACCTCACAGCCGTCCGCATGGTGACCTGACCCCACAGCCGTCCACATAGTGACCTGACCTCACAGCCGTCCACATAGTGGCCTGAACTCACAGTCGCCCACATGGTGACATGACCTCACGATCATACACGTAGTGACCTGACCGCACCTCCGTATATGCACCTGAACGCCTTGCGATATCCGTACTCCACAGAGTCTCGGTATACTTTGGTCTGTGGTGCAACTCCTATATTTGGCCTTCCACTTTACTGTTCTCCCATTTCATTGTACATTTGTTCAGGTTTAGCGGCCTAAGCTAAGCTTATCAGTTCCGAAAAACAGTGAGCATAATAACCAGAGTAACTGGGTCCAAGCCATTGTACCATTCCGTTCCCAGAGCCTGATCCCGAGACCGAATGTGATGTGTCATCCGCGACACCACAGTGCCTCGTCCGCCCAGTGTCGATCGTGCCGCAGACTGGCGGCATCGGCAGCTTAGGAAGGTGCTTATCGACAGTGAGCCGATGGCGGAGAACTCAGTGGTGACTGTGATGTACTTCGGAAGGCTTAACGGCAAACCATGGAAATGCGATGGCATGACGAGAGAAAACGTATTCCTATACGATAGATCTTATTAGGGTGGTGCGGTACAAGGACCGCCCCTCGTGGCGTGGCGCCCTGCCATTGGTCGGTGTGGGACGTGCGGTCCGTGGCCGGTCAGCTGATACCCTCGAGTACAGTCTGTACCGAGGGCCGATCAATAACGGGTGACCGCAGCATCGGCTTCCTTCGTGTCGATAATAAGCGTGTGAACAAATTGTTGGCGGTGTGCAAAACCAGCAGGTCGACTGCGTAGAATATAATGGCGAGAAGGATTATGTTCACACACACACACGCATGCACACACACACACTCTCACACGCACGCATGCACACACACACACTCTCACACGCACGCACGCACACACGCATGCACGCACACGCGCATACGTACACGTACACGTACACACACACACACACACACACACACACACACACACACACACACACACACACACACACACACACACACACACACACACACACACACACACACACACACACACACACACACACACACACACACACACACACACACACACTTAAATTACACAGTCTTAAATGCTTCCTTTATGGATGGAATTGCTTTGCATCCTCATTTTGGAACAAACCATGCGAAAAAATGAAAGCTTGCTGTACTGCCATCGTTCTAAGAGCAACGAAAATCACATTTTTACCCCGGAAAGGCCATTGTCCAAGCCCTAACATACGATTTCAACCCCGGATGCACGACAACCGCATTTCAGCGACGCCCGTCCGTGGAACTCCCCAAACTCCAAACATATCGCAGAAACAAAAGACACTCTACCCTCTCCTGCGTGATGACTTTTAGAACGACTGGTGCATTTCCCTGCCACTGATAATTTGTGTGATCACCGTCACGCTGTTATCGCCAGTACTGCCTTCAAAAGCAGCGGCACTGTCGCGACGATGCAGTTGTCGACGCGTCGGCGTCTTCTCGTAAAATGATCTCATTTGTAGCGGCTTGACCTGATCGGCCTTACGAATGATTTAAAGACACCTGTGCAATTACCTGTTGTTGCTTTCCCGTCATTTGCTTGTCATTTGTGGTTGGAAATGTTTCACGCTTGAAGATATTGAAACAAGCATCAGATATGATGAAATAAGGTCACTTCTAATTATTGGTACACTTTTTAAGTGGACAGACTGCTGTAGACGGCATAATTATTTGTTTAGTAGAGATGTTACTTAAGGCGTCATGGCTTGATTATGTCATCGTACCTTGCACAATATTGATTGAGAGCCAACTGGCTGGCGTTATATCTGAAAATCGAGCTTACGAACACCAGATATAAGCGTCTTGACAATTACATTTTTTGGCCTTGATCGCCGCTTGGCTTATGGAATGGCAGGATTATAATGATGTTCTATGACCAGACTTGTGTTCGACTCAGTTTTGGTATTCGTCTGAGGACTGTCCCACAGATTTTACGATCCCATTCAGCACACGAGTCATAGCCCATTCAAATATTTTGAATCGACTCAGTTCAGACCCATTGCTTGCGTTCAGTCATTTGGCTCATGTCTCACACAGCTTGCAAATCAAAAGATGCGATTCAGTTCGGGCTCGTTAATGTATATAAATAAATAAATATCCACACATATGCATATATAGACATACATACATATATATACATACATATATATATATATATATATATATATATATATATATATATATATATGGGGTCATGAATGTCAAGATGACTTCAAAATACTCTCCCCGATATAACTTTCCCCATTTTCGCGGGCGTGTAACTCAAAAGCTAGGGGGGCTTCGGAACAATAAAGCGCAGGATTGTGAACAGCACCGAAAGGTCTTCAAGGCGGCTATTTCAGTTCAAACCCCCCTATGAAAGTGGAACGCTCCCTTTAATGACGTCTCGCTCCCTGATGTAACAGACCTTCATCGTGGGCACATTCGGTGGAATGTGAACGGGAACGGACCGAGCACGACGGCTGAGCAGGCGGGCACGGAACAAGCACGGCAGTGTGTTGATGGTCACGGACCGAGCATGGCAGTGACGTCGCCGGGGGGGAGATGCTCGAGGGACTTTAACCCTCCCGTTAGGCTCAAGCTCAGTTTTTATCACGACATCTCTCAACGAAATTCCGGACTCTGACGATCAGGAAAACTTTTTTGGTTTTGACCATGTACGCTACCATGGGCAGCGACATGCACAACCAATTAATCGTAATTTAATAACAAGACTCGTGGATAGCCGCGCAAACATGTACCTCATACAGTCCGCAGCTGGAAATATTGTTCAAGGCATCAGTGCAAGTCAACAACAGTGCAAACAACATTACACAGACAGCCCCCGAGAGGAGAGGATAGCGAGGCGCGGTTTTGGGGAAGCAGAAAAATAAAAAGAACCAGAGGAGAGACAGGAGAAGAGCGAAAGGATGACATGGAGGTGGCAAGGTGAACGGACGGAGATATATACAGCCGGAGAGACCGGGCTTTTTCGCAGATGATTTATTCAAGGTAGAAGCTGGCTGGAGAACGACGTCTTTCCGCTTTAGTAGAAACATCTGAACGCACACTGCATGAAATGACGGATGCGGAACTGGAACGCTTGCCAATGGGGCCAGTGGCGAGGGCTGGAAGACTGAGCGGGATGCGGAGGGAGTGAGGCGGAGAAAATGGGGACATAAGGAGAACGACAGGCGGAGAATCCCGGTCTAGTCAGACAGATCGATTTTCAACGGCAATGAGAACATCTGTGAAACAAAAAAACAAGCAAGACGCAAATGTGCCGAGGAAAACGCCATGTTCAGCACTCTGTGGCAAAGGCAGCATTAGTTTTTAACATACGCGTTGCGCACATATGAAGCGCAAAGACGTTGATCCCAAGTGCTGTAACTGGTTTCAGGGGTAAAGCCCGTCGCTGGGCAGACGTTTCAGATTCATGGCATTTATTAAAACAACGGCTGCAGGCTGGCGTAGGAATGTGTGACTGAGCTCTCCGCGAACCTGCATGCTTTATGCACGCTTCATTGGTCCGAGACAATGACACGGAGTCAGTATTTGACGGCGGTAAATATTGTTAATAATAGCAGGAATTGAATAAACAATACATGGACATTGGGTAAGATAAGATTGTGAGTTTTGCTTTCCGTTGCATACTCCGTCCTTACGCATTGTAAGCTGAACAAGACATGAGGGACAGGCAATGACGAGCTGTTGGCTCCATCCTGTGTCACGTATGGCTTAAAAAAGTTCACAATCCGCGATCGTTATGATTCTCACGTTACATCCTGGAGAATTTTGGGACGTTATGTTGTCTTGGTTTCTACGGGACCGTTTGTTACGTGACTTAAGAAACCGACGAAAATGAAGCGCGAACAGGCTGAAATAAAACAGGTTATGAAACAAAACGTGGAGCATTTTATTATAAACCTTCGAGGACAAATATCATTTTTGGTTGGGTGACTGCAGCATTGCAAAGCAAACAAAGGGCGTCCACAAAAAGCTGGCTGGCGCAGATTGATTTGGTGACTTCTTCTAGGTGGAAGGTGCGGTGCGCTTCCGATGTCCCCAGACGACGGAACTTTACACAAAACGAATGTGTTCAGTAGACCGTCCGCGGCGGAACTCCCTGACAGTTCGAATGTAACACCACTACAACAGCGGGACCGAGCCGAGCGGATGTTGAGCATGCTGGTGTCGTCACGCTGTTGCACTGCAGACGCTTCCAGCTTGATGTTCGTTCGCTGCATGCAGTGCCGTGGCAAAGTCCTCACGGTCAGCAATACGAAAATTGTAGCGCGCTTTTCCGCCTTATTCCCGATGCATCGCGATGTTGGCATGAGTTACCATCAGTGGCACGGGCGGAACAAACGCACCTGACTGTGAGTCATTAGTGACACTACGTCCCACAGATGGTACCCGTTCGTGCGGCATACTGATGCATCTTAGTGAAGGATGCGGTACCACTCTGTTAGATGATCTTTATTCATGTCATTGTTCAGTCCTCTGTACACGTATATACAGTCACCGCACAAACAGCAATCAATGTCTCAGTGCATGACCATCTATTCTGCCTCCTAGTGGGTCATCGTGTCTTTCACACTCAAGTTTTACAAAAAGTACAAATACTCACAAATGTGTCGAAGCCCTCAGGCTCTGGTCAGTCTTTGGACTGCTTTAGCTAACTTAAATAGCGTGGGCTATCTATTTTCAACTCAACAAAAGTACAGCTATCTCACACGGCGGGTCAAGTAGCGTTGACAATGGGCCGACTCCGTTACCGTCCCCCACAGCCATTCACGGAGACGTCAACGACTGCAAGCACGATGCTCGCTGACATGTCATACTCATTATTTTTCCACGAGCATTGTCAGCTGATGCACCAGAGTTATAAGTTGATCCGTTGAGGCTGTGTTTAGCCAGGGTCCTACATGACTGTGTATCAGGCCATGTCGGTTCAGCTGGCATGAAGCACAGCCAACACTCAGTTGTCGCTTGCTTCACAACCACGGTTGACGTCCCACGAATATGGGAGCGCCATAAATGACTTGACCCACCCCATCCGCGCCCTTTTGACCGCCCGGTTCGGCGATGAGCATCCACTACGAAATCCATGACAAAAAGAGCTACAAATAAGTCGTGAACTCTGTCTAATTTCCCGAGACAAGCTTCAAGGACACGAACATACAGATGTGTTCGCAATTACACGACACTTGGTTACGCTCACAGCTTCCTGTTACCTTCACAGAATGCTCCGGGAACATCCACAGTTGCCACCTCCGTTGTGGCTCTCACTCTGCAGACCGAACATAGGCCAGCATCCCTCACACCCCGTGGCAAAGGATGGTCGCGCATCTCCCTTTGACACCTCACGTTGCCGCCCGCAACTCAGATCTCGCCGCACAGTCGCACCGTCAACGCACGCGCCGCCGTCCACGCGGTAGACACCGCCAGCCGCTCCGCATCACCAGACAGCACTGTTGTAGCGGCTCTCCTGGCCGCGCTGGGTCACTAGGCCTTCTCTCCCCCGCACCAACACACGCGTCACACCGAGACCTCCTCCTCGCTGTTCTCCTCGGGCAGCGGCCGCTCCTCTTCACTGTCGCTCTCCTCGTCGAAGAGCGGTCCAAGCGGCAGGTCTCCGTCGGCGGCGTCCAGTGGCGCCACGGACAGCTCAGGCGCCATGAACTGCACCTGCTCCTCGGGGAAGCGGTGCTGCAGCAGCACGTGGCGCGCCGACGCGGCCGGCAGCAGGTCGCCGATGAACCCGAACCAGTAGATCACCATGCCCGGTCCGAACCTGCCGGACAGAGGACGCCTCAGCTGAGGAGTGGCCTGCTCTGCTTACAATCACGAGGCTGTGGGCTACGGCCTTCATGCTGCCGGCGTTTCGCTCTCCCTCCGATACCATCGGCATAGAAGACTGTGGCGCTAGCGAATGTTACGGTCCAGCCCGTGGTAAACTGAGGCACGAGTGGCGGCACGACTTTGATATAGGCTGGGCATGTAGGCCGTCGCACGTGACGCGCTGATCACGCTGTCGCACGTGACGACGGGATGCCAACTGGGTCTGGAAAGAGGACTGATCGCTGGCAGTTCGAACGAGTATATGTTCTAACTAAAAGCCGATCACCTACCAGGCAGGTTCACACGCACCTGAATCAAAGCTACATCATAACAGCAATGTAGTCTGCGCAGCGTTCGAATGTACCTCCGGCAAGGTCATGAGCACAAGATCATGCAAACAGTCGTGACCACAATACAGCATCATGGACATTGCATAACAGTCTAGTCACCTGCTCCAGTACTTCTCGTACTGGTCCCGCATGTAGGCCTCGTGGGTCTCGTCGTCACCGAACGAGGCCTTGCTTTCGATCCAGTTCACTATGCATCCCGACACCGCTGAAACGGATAGATGGTCGTGATAACGATGGTCAAATGCTGTTCTCTTTCCTCGTGGCTTACCGTGCAATTTGAAAGACGTGCTCCTCGGAGTCCGTATCTTTGGCATGATGTTTTATTATTTTTCTCGGTTATATTAGTCCTTAATCGTTCTGGGGATTTTACGACTAAGACATCGCTCATTATTTCTTGGAGGCATAAAGATAAGAACAGCACTATGTTCGTCGGGTACAGCCATGTGGGCGTCTAATAGGTGGGTCTTAATCAAAGATCGTGCCACTTCAGTTTACGGCGTCACATGTTACCATGCGCGCAAAAGAGGTCTGCTGGCAGAGGAAGAAATGACCTTCTCAACGGAACGTCTAATAACCTACGTAGCCTTAACCCAGACTCATTCTGGAAAAACCGAAGTTTCTGAAAAATCCTGTTCATGCCTCAGGGAGAGCTGATAAGTCGCAGGAGTAATTTACTGCACTGAACGGGGTGGCACGTCTAATGAGATCGACACCACTGGAAAGAAGTGTTTTAGCACAGTACGAATGCAAATGCTACAGCGCATGTTGCGTTGTTGCATTTCATCAGGAATCATATCACGTCTCTCCTTTTGGCCCGCGTTTGTCCTTTACTCTAGCAGAGGTCTCCAACATTTCGTTTTTAGCATCAATGTGAGGCGGGTCGCAGCACAGAAGTCACCTCAAGTGTGGGAGCACATAATGCCACGGCGTTACATGTCTAAGTTGGAAACTTCTCCGACTTTTGGCGGTACGGTTAGCGAGTTTCCCATTGTACAAAGCAGAAGCGGAACAGGACAGGCGCGCACCGCATCGTACGCAGAGAGCAGTCAGGGCAGGGCAGGGAAAACGGGACAGAACAGGTCAGGTCAGAACAAACCGGACCAGGACTAAGTGGGTTACAGCCAGCATTGACAGATAAAGTGGGCGCACGAGCAGAATAGGGACATCTAGGACTGGACGGAGACAAACACCGCCAGCATAGTAATGACATGGCAGAGCATCGCAAAACGAAAGAGGCAGAGATCAGTCCAAACAATACGGACTGTCCTGTCCTCTCCATCTGAGGACTGGACCGGCCAACCTGGTCTGACCTGAGCAGAACAGACCAAACCTGACCCAGACAAGACCAGACATGGCGTGGCGTGGCGTGGCGTGGCGTGGCGTGGCGTGGCGTGGCGTGGCGTGGCGTGGCGTGGCGTGGCGTGGCGCGGCGCGGCGCGGCGCGGCGTGGCGTGTATCGGCGAGCAGCAGGGCAGGGCAGGGCAGGACAGGGCAAAGCAGGGCAGGGCAGGGGTGGAACAGAACAACGCAGACCAAACATGATAGGGCAATACAAGACAACAGTACAAAACAGGATATGGCAAAGCAAAACACGACAATATCAGCATGTGGTCCGTCCTGATCCAGACACATCCCCGTCCGTCCCGTCCCGTCCCGTCCCGTCCCGTTTTTGTTTTGGTTTGTTTTGTTTTGTTCTGTTTGCTTTGTATTTCACCAGTTGTTCGCCTGCGCTGCGGCTCGTGTGCTTACACTTGGTCTGAACAGCTCCGGGGGCCACTCTTCCCTCAGTGAGAAGAGCCCGGGCCCAGTCTCCGGGCCAGACCTACCGATCGGCACGTCCAGCAGCACGTCGGGGGTCTGTCGTGGCCCGGCGCCGAAGGTCGTCTTCGTCAGAAACGGGATCTTCAGAGAGATGAGCTTCTTCTTCAGTCGCATCTCGTACTCCAGACCGACCGTGCTGGAAGCGCGAAGCGTCGTGAGGCGTTGGCGGCCGGGCGATCTGCGCTGGCGCGCGTAGTGCACGGGTTTGTGTCCCCTAATGACCAGCTATACAACTTGGAAATAAGATAACCGGATTACAGGTGAGAAGCTGTTTTGCTATCACTCCAGTACCATAAAAGTAGAAGACACAAAGTGACGGGACATAGCCATACGTCAACTGAGTGGTAACGAATGGGACGAAATTGACTAGTCCATGAGAAAAAGGGCACCACTAATACATTTCATATTTCAAGACCTCCACATCGGAAGACTAGCCTCGACACATCCTGTTTGCCTTTACACGTGCTAAGTGAATCAAGGACACTGTTCTCGACAATGCATCCTGCGAAATACGCTCAATTTCTTCCCCACAAAGCGCAGTTAGGACGGCCTCCGGAACATCCGCGTCTAAAGGCACGCGTCTTCCCGGACCGCGCTCTGAAGATTTCATCCCAGCAAACCACCCGCTGGACAAAATCTGGCTCCGCAGGCCCCCTCTAATCTTCTGACACCCTGCATACTATTCGCCACGTCACGGGTCCACGCGCGTCGACATCTGAGAGGACCCCCTTTCCCCGCAGCGGCCACAGCCACATCGCAACATCGCTCCAGGCGGGCGGTGGCGTCACAGCCCGCCGGCGGCACTCACTGCTTGACGAGCTCGGCCAGCGGGCCGTAGCCGTTGTCGCGCAGCACACACAGCCGCAGCTCGGCGGCCACGCGCGGCTCGGCCAGCAGGCCCGGCTCGCGCACCAGCTGCGCCAGTCGCTGCCGCTTGCCGCGGTCCGACATGCGCCGGTACGCCGCGTCCGTGTCGTTGGCGTAGCAGTTGAGGATGAACTTGGCGAGCAGGGCGGGCGCCACCTGCAGGCGCGTGGCCATGCGCAGCAGCACGCCCGCCGACTCGCCGGCGTCCAGCGCGTCCAGGAACCTGCGGCAGCGGAGGGGCGGCGTCACAGGTGGAGCTCTGGCATCTGGAGCGGGTGCACGCTGGCTGTTCGGATGCCTCCGACTACAAACGCCTTCAAAAGGAGATTTCGAAGTGACAACAACACAGCGTTGCAGGTGTTTTAGGGACATAGTGCCATCTGTGCGAAAGATATCATACCTTTTCACCAAACAATATATCACATAGATAAGAATTGCACATGGAGAAACATAGATTTGTTTTGCTGCCACAGCTGGCCCGGACACTACAGGTGTACTATCATTGCAGCTGCTTCGAGCGTATCTGAGTGGAGATCACAGAAACTTGAAGCATTAACCTCTTATGATATTTGGGTGGGCCTGGTCTGGTGTGAATGGTATCCCTGTTATGATTTGTTTGAGAGAGAGAGAGAGAGAGAGAGTAGCAGTGAAAGAGTGGACTATGGCGAATAACTGGAATGTCATTAGTACCTCAATGTGGCCAGATGAATGCTGCGGAAAAACTTCCGTTATGCACGACTTCCATAGTTTCCCAGTTGTTACCGTTAGTTACTCCATTGAAGGCACGTCCACGTGGTGGTTGTGCCGTGTCTAGTCATACAAGACAACAACAACAAAAAACACGCACGCGGTGCACAGGCATGCATATACGCGCACAGGTGAAACCAGCTTCCGCCAATGAGTCAGCGATTCAAAACAGTCAAGAGTACCCGCCGCGAGGGCACACGGACGGCCGCCGTCCGTGGCGGCGGCGCGGCACGGACAATGACGCTGGGTGGCGGTCAGTCGGACGCGCAGGAGATGCAGCAAGCCGACGCCGCCCAAAAAAGCGCGGGTTTGACGTTGGGAAGACTCGGCGCACGTCACGAAGAGCACGCAATGCACTGGGGGATTGGGGCTGTGCGGTGCCCTGTGCACATTC